CACACACACACACACACACACACACACACACACACACACACACAATGGAGTATTACACAGCCATTAGAAAGCTGGAAGTCCTGCCATTTGTGACAACATAGATGGGCCTCGAAGGCATTATGCTAAGTTAAATAAGCCAGACAGAGAAAGACAAGTACGGCATGGTATCACTTATAAGTGGAATCTAAAAACAAAAAAAGAAGTCAAACTCATAGAAACAGAGGGTGATTAAAGTGGTTGCCAGTGCCAGTTGTGGAGAATTTGGTAAAATGGTACCAGGTATAAGATGAATAAGTTCTGAAGATTTAAAGTAAAATACAGTAATAGCTACTACCTTTGAACTTTGATAAGCTGTAGTAGTTTTCAGATTGTTTGAAGAACAATAAAAATCTGGTATTAGTGTAAAAAGAAAATAAAGGAAAACACAATGATGACTGTTGATAACATTGTATTTTGTAGTTGAAATTTGCTAAGAGGCTGGAGCTTCAATGTTCTCATACACACAGAAGTTAAATATATATGGCAATGGATTTGTCAATTAACCAGATGGGAGGAATCCTTTCACAATGTATACATATATCAAATCACCACAATGTACACTTTAAATATTTGTTTTATTTGTCAATTAGACTTCAATGGAACTGTTAACAAAAAAAAAAAAAAAAAGTAAACACAGAAAACAGAACATGTTTGTATACAAGCAGGGCCTTCTTGAACCTCCTGCATGACTTTTTTTTTTTTTTTTTTTTTTTAAATAATGTGAGATAGGTTTTCACTGAATTGTGATTGTTGGTCAGAGGTCATGGTGCTTCCATTTCTAGGCTTTGGTCCATCTGATGATAATTTCTCTAGGCAGATGGAGCAGAGATGCTCTGTGAAGCACTACTACATCTCTGAATGACTAAAAACAAGCTCAAATGCTGATTCTATCTTATGGCTCCAGATACTTCTACATGCAGAGAACTGTTCCACATTTATTTTTACTCTTCCTTTTCATCTTATAATTCCTACAGTTTACTTGGGAGATTATACAGTTTACTTGGGGATGTGGCCTTAACTGTATACTGCTTTCAGATTGCATTTTGTCTTTTTTTCTTTTTTTGATAGCCCTAGGATTGAAAACCAACACTTGAAAAGTAACTGTCTAGATCATTGTACAAAGAATAGTGTTTTGCTTTTTTTCTTGTGTTTATTAGGAGTTTCTTTTTAAAAAAAAATTTTTTTTTTCCCAACGTTTTTATTTATTTTGGGGACAGAGAGAGACAGAGCATGAACGGGGGAGGGGCAGAGAGAGAGGGAGACACAGAATCGGAAACAGGCTCCAGGCTCCGAGCCATCAGCCCAGAGCCTGACGCGGGGCTCAAACTCATGGACCGTGAGATCGTGACCTGGCTGAAGTCGAACGCTTAACCGACTGCGCCACCCAGGCGCCCCAGGAGTTTCTTTTTAAGAGGCAGTAAGTATATCATTGACGCTGAGTTTAGGAACTCTGGAGACAGACTGCTAAGGTATGCCTCCAGGTATGCCACTTATCACATGTGTCACCTTTCACAGGTGTTTGATTTCTCACTGCCTCCCTCACTTTATCATGTGTAAAGATGAGGATGACAATAGTACCTACTTTTATAGTGTTTAGAGAAGGAGTATAATGAGCTACTTTCTGTAAAGAGAATGATATGAAGAAGAGCTTACACATATATTAAGCAGAGGTAGACATGTATGTAAAGTTGAGGTTCTTTGGCATATTTGTGATTATGAGAATTTTAAAAAATTGTTATATGTCCCACACATTCAGAAACAATAGTGCCTATAGGAAAACAAGTGTCTATACAAAAACAATGATAATATACATAATATGTATGAAAATGAGATCTTTCAGTCATCTCAGTAGAAAGAGCTTGTAGGGCACAAGTAAAAATCATGACAAAATCATAATACCAATGACTCGTGTTTCTTGAAGGTTTAAATGCCAGGCACTATGCTAAGTCTTATCTGGTTTCAACAACTATATCCTCATCTGGCTAGTTACATAATATTGGAGAATTTCCTCTTTCTAAGCTCTGATTTTATCATCTGTGAGGTAGGTATTAATATCTGTTCTTAATAAAGGTATATTATTAGAATAAAATGAGATAATGTAATGAAATGATCAGTGAGCTGGTACGTAATTATATGAAATAATATATTGATAAATTATTTATAATATAATCATAATGGTGATTAACAGCTGATCCTGATTTTTCTTGACAGCACAGATGTTTTAGGAGCTGCTGACTTCTCTGACCCTAGGTAGTTTACTGAATCAAAAAAATATATACAATATATATGTTTATAATATACATATCAATGAATATACATATATATGATTTAATAATATATTAGCATAATATAAGCATTATATTATGTTAATATGCAACATACTTACATTATGTTTATTATATAAGGATATATAACAATGTAATTATATAATAATATATAATTGTAACATGTATAATGTATATTATATATAATACATGAATATTAGTGTAATAATATAATTAATGTATTAGTGTAATAATATGTAATAATACTGTTGTATATATTATTCATTGATAGGTAAAGGTTTTTGTGAAGTATGTCCATTTTAATCATCTTCCTGCCATACACGGAAGGTTTGGGGTTTTTTAAAAATTTTTTTATAATGTTGGTACCCTTGTGGTGTGCTTGTGGTTAATAGTCAGTTGTCTCTGTGGTCCCAATAATGATCCCATACCTAAATTCTCTTATTTGAGTGTTCTGCCTATCAACAGTTTGCAGGTTTTATTCTTGACTACAATTCTGACCATGCTTTAATTTATATGTTTTGTCCCTGTCTGCTGAGTAGATTGCGAGGCTCCCCTGTGGCATGGTTCATTGCCTTCTTTTGATTCCTGGTATCTAGCACTTTGCTAGGTAGAACAGGAAACAAGTGATCAGTATATATTCATGGAATAAGTAAATTAGGAAAGAATAGGAAGAAAGTCAAATTGACATGAGAGTAACCTGTATTTCTAAGAATCAGGAAACTGAGCTTCAAGAAATCTTAAAGAATATTGATCTAGGAGGATTCGGCCTCTAGGAAGATAACATGATGCCAAATAAGTTAGAATTTGCATGTTCTATTTGTTTCCGGCTGGAGGGTATAAAATAGAGAGTTCCAACTATTCTGAAGCTTTTCTTTTAACTAACTTAATACATTGTAATTCATTAAACAGAGGCGGGCTAGCAGAAAGACTAAATGGACTGCAAAATCGAGAGAGATCTGCCATTTCTTTATGGAGACATCAATGTGTTTCTTACCAAAAGACACTTTCAGGTAAGGTCTGCACTGACATCTGAGACTGTGGATAAAGAAGATGCTAGTCAAAAGTATTTTTTGTTAAGATATATTAATTTAATCATTACTGTTTTCATGATGTTTTCTTTTTCTCCAGGTGTCCTATGGGTCTCAAAAATTGTTCTGAAAGATGAGTCCATTCTTATAAGGTCTACTTATCCCTCCCTATAGAGCTTCTCACAGTTCAATAGAAGACATACTCTTGATCTGATTTGGAGAGCTCTGTGTTAGGCTTTTCTTTTGCTCTTAGCTTTTTGCTCATAGCTTTCAGACTTCTGTGACTGTGATCCCTAGTAAAAAATACACCTTATGTATTGAGGAGGGCACCTTTTGGGATGAGCACTGGGTGTTGTATGGAAACCAATTTGACAATAAACTTCATATATTGAAAAATAAAAAATAAAAAAAAAAAAGAAATACACCTTATATAATCTCCCAGTGCACATATGATTTACATGCATGCACAGACCCCTGAAATGTTTTTTAAACAACACTAACCTTAATATGTGTGATATACTCTGCATTGTCTTTTATTTTTCCCATAATCCTAATCTCACTAAATTGATATAGGTCCCTTCTAATAAATTACAGGATGTAGTTTGAAAGTTGCTACTACAAGCAAGTGACTGAAAACTTGTTTTTTAACAAATTGTTTGATGTTAAGAATATTTCATATACCTGGAAAAGCTCCCTCTTCTGTGAGACTGTGGTTTTTTTCATGGTTTCTTCTTGAGTGGTCTTTCCATTAGGAGTGGGGGAAGAAGTAGGTGGGAATGGTCATCTATTAGTTTTCTCTCCAGGGGGTTCCTTGGAATATGCATCTTAATAGGCTCACAGTTTATTTTGGCACATGTTAGCATGCAAAATAGAACAGCAGTGCTAGGTAAAATACTCAACCAGTATGTTGTCAACTGTTGCACTTTTCTCTGGAAGACTTTTTAATTTTGATCTCATTCATTATCTTTAAAATCCTTCCCAGCTGGCACCTGGCTAGCTCAGTCAGTGGAGCATTTGACTCTTGATCTCGGAGACGTAAGTTCGAGCACTGTGTTGGGTATAGAGATTACTTAAAATTTAAAAATCTTAAAAAATAAAATGAAGTAAAATTCTTCCCAGCTATCTTCTAGCAACTGCCTTCTCTCACATTCTTGTATTAGAGAGTATTATAATATGACATATGTTATCAGGATGACCTGATACATATGACCCAAGAATATTTTTTTTTATTACAGGATGCTATGAATCAGCCCATTGTTACATTTATTACTTTGTATCTTATCTTTTTTATATATAAAAGATTATATTAAATAATCATCTTCACAACTCATTTGATTAGTCAGAAAACCAGGTATACATAAAGATTGACAATGAGTTTTATTACTCAGGGAAGTCAGTAATAAATACTCTGGCATAAGCACAAAAAGAATTTAATAGGACTTATACCTGAAAGCCACAGGGAGAAAATTTCACTTCAGGCATATTGGTTTGAAAAGATTGGTAGGTCTTTTCCACATGGTAATTCACAGCGTCACGTCTGATAAAAAGAATGCTTTCTTTTCTAATATTTTACCAATGATTTTCATTGATCTGCAGAGACATGTACCCCTCCTTGAACTAATCACTACTGAGGTGGAGTATAATAAATAGCCCTATAATTAACTTGTGATCTTTTTCAAGACTTATTTAATAAAAATAAGAACGCTTTGTGATTTTAGAATATATTTTTTCATTTTAACCTTTCAGTAATCTCTCATATTCTATTTATAAATATTTACCTGTACGTACGTAACCTCTCAAATGTGATGTCCTTGATTTGGAGTGATCATTTTCTCCTATAATCTATCCACTTCCACCTCTAACTAGTTTCTGTTTAACTTTGTGTCACTCATCATTTTAAATTTAATTTGGGGTTTTATGCATTATAAATTTCTTTTGTTCTGCTTCAACCAGAAAAATATGGCCATGCCACCTAAATTCTCAAACTTACCCTTCTTTCCTATTTTGCTTTTGCCTCCATTCTTTTGAAGTAATTATATAAGAGAATGGTAAGCTTGGATTTCTTTCTGACTTGATATAAATATTTGACTTGGTCGGGGCACCTGGGTGGCTCAGTCGGTTGAGCGTCCGACTTCGGCTCAGGCCATGATCTCACAGTTTGTGAGCTCGAGCCCCGCATCGGGCTCTGTGCTGACAGCTCAGAGCCTGGAGCCTGCTTCAGATTCTGTGTCTCCCTCTCTCTCTGCCCCTTCCCTGCTCACACTCTGTCTCTCTGTCTCTCAAAAATGAATAAATGTTAAAAAAAAAATTAAAAAAAATTTTTGACTTGGTAAATTTCAATGAAGCAACTTTTATTTTAGTGATATAGGCCAACTTTGTATTGAGAGGTTGGGATGAGGTCATGAGCCACAGGATGGAAAAGACAGGACGGGAAGAATGGAGGACAGGAGGATAGCAAACAGAGTGACTGGAGTATCTAGCTTTTCCTTGGAGTCTGGCCACTGCACACTTAAAAAGCCAGAACTTTGTGGGGCCCCTGGGTGGCTCAGTCGGTTGAGTGTCTGACTTCGGGCCAGGTCATGATCTCATGCTTCGTGAGTTTGAGCCCCACTTCAGGCTCTGTGCTGACAGCTTGGAGCCTGGAGCCTGCTTCGGATTCTGTGTCTCTCTGCCTCTCTCCGCTCATACTTTCTCTCTTTTGAGAATAAATAAACATTAAAAAAAAAATCTTTAAAAAAAAAAAAAACATTGAAAGTACCACCTATATGCTACATTAGTGTTCATGCCACATCCTATTTTCTTTTCCCTCATGAAAAGGTAGAATGGTAATTCTTGAGGGTTCTTAGAGATCTTCCAGTCTCAGCTCCTCTTTGGGGGATGGAGACAGTATGTGGCCTAGAAGAGGGAAGTGACTTGCTCTGATTATTCAATTAAAGGAAGAAACAGGGCTAAAACCATAGCCACCTAACTGCCAGTGTCATGCTCTTTCCATGGTACCACATCCTGCCTCATGAAAATAATTTTTTTCACTTCTCTACCAATTTGCTCTCTTTTTTTAATGTTTATTTATTTTGAGAGAGAGAGAGAGAGAGGGAAAGAGACTGAGTGCAAGCAGGGTAGGGGCAGAGAGAGAAGGAGTCACAGAATCTGAAGCAGGCTCCAGGCTCTGAGCTGTCAGCACAGAGCCTGACGCAAGGCTTGAATTCAGGAACCATGAGATCATGACCTGAGCTGAAGTCAGATGCTTAACCGACTGATCCACCCAGGAGACCCTCTACCAATTTGCTCTTGATATTACAATTGAGGAAAAAACAAACACCCCAGGTTGAACTTTATGTGTCAAATAAGGTATCTATTTTGAATTTTTGTTGACTTTATAGTCTTGAAATATTGTAAATATGCTCAAGGTGAGAGGAAGACTTGGACAAACTTTAATTTGAACCATAAATTCCTAAGAAATTATTGGGGGAAAATAGCTTCTGTCTGTCTTTTTTTCTCCTTTGACTTTGTCCTTATCACTGTTGTATCACATTTGGAGGTTTACTGTATGGCAGGTACAATGCTGAGGCTTACTACATATTAAACCATTTAGTATGCAAAATAATGCTCTAAGATTCAGTTTGCTTTTCTTATTTTCTAGATGAAAAATTTGTAGATTGAATATATGGTATAGGTGCATAAGCCCAGGTTTGATGTTATCTCTGTTGTCCATGTTCTTAATCACTAATCCATGTGGGCCTTCATTAGATTATCTGCTTGGGCTGGAGAAAGTTAGGATTAAGAAGGCAAGTGATTAAGGAACCAGCAAAATTAGAAATATTCATACAAATGTCATTTTTGTTTGGGAAAAGGTAGTCTTTCAACATGTAGTTAGTTCCGTGTTGCATTCTTTTTTTTTTTTTAATTTTTTTTTTCAACGTTTATTTATTTTTGGGACAGAGAGAGACAGAGCATGAATGGGGGAGGGGCAGAGAGAGAGGAAGACACAGAATCGGAAACAGGCTCCAGGCTCTGAGCCATCAGCCCAGAGCCTGACGCGGGGCTCGAACTCACGGACCGCAAGATCGTGACCTGGCTGAAGTCGGACGCTTAACCGACTGCGCCACCCAGGCGCCCCGTTCCGTGTTGCATTCTTAAGACGACACTAAGCATAGGACGTAAGTTTGAAGGTTATCTAAATAATGAATCTTTTGTAGGATACCCTCAAATCTTATTATTTTGATAGGGAGATGGCAGATTGTCTTCTTAATTATTCATGTTAACATATAATAGAAATCACTCTACATTGTTGTCCTACCTTCTCATAGTGAATTGACCACAAATTGTTAAGCACAGAATAGAAAGTATCTTCTAGAGGTTGAAATAGAAAAATACCAGGTCAAATAAGTGTGACTGGGTGCCTGGAATGAAGAGAGGGAATATGACCTTTTATTTGGCTCATAAGCACCAAATACCTTATTTGGAATGTTCCTTATGATTTGCCTTCTTTTTTTTTTTTTTTTTTTTTTTATTTTTTTTACTGTTTGAGAGAGAGGGAGTGGGGGAGGGGAAGAGAGAATCCAAAGCAGGCCCTGTGCTATCAGCACAGAGCCCGAAGCAGGTCTCTATCTCACAAACCATGAGATCATGACCTGAGCCGAAATCAGGAGTCAGAGGTTTAACCGACTGAGCCACCCAGGTGCTCCATAATTTCCTTTTTGAATTTGGGGATAGAGGTTATATAAATTATACCACAAATAAAAGACAAAAGCAAAAGAAAACAAAAACAAAGAGCTAAAAACTAATCCATTAATTTCATATATGAATGGCCCATCTCTAATAGATTTTTGTCTTAAAGTCTGAACATCTTTAGATTTGGATTTTATTTTTTGTTTCTTTAGATGAATTTCTTACTTTTGAGATCTCTTAGATCCTCTGCTTGGTGTCTTGTAATACATTGTACCATTTTTTTCATTCTTTTTGATATAACTTCTATTGTGTTA